CATTACCAGGAATGTCAGCACAATCAAGTAAAGGATTATGTCTTTTGAGGCAAGAGGAATATGCCTTGTAATTATGAATGAAAGTATTTCTTCTTGTCCTGAATATACTGAGAGTCTGGTTTGGCTAAGCAGTTTGAACTATACAATCACTGGAATTATCTTAAGAACTCTGGGGATTTCTCCGTGCCGAGAAATGTTTGTCTCCTACAATTCCTACCCTAAATGTAACAAATAGAGTTGATTTGTGTTTCAGTTCATACTCTACTGGTGTTCAGAAGTATGTTAAGGTAATGAAATGAAAGCCATTAATTATATGGCACAAAAACTGTGTGTGCTGTTCTGTGCATAACAGAAAATAATTTGTATGAATGGAAGGGACTAGTTCAGAAAGCAAAAATGCTTAAAAAATCTAGTCGTAGGTTCAGAAATGGCAGTCACTGCAGATTGGTATCTACTGATAACAGTGACAGTTTATTAATAATCTGTCGTGTAAAGCTGACATATTGGGTGCTGAATTCTGCTCAGCTACACAATGAAATCTCATCCATTTTATTACTGCCAGAATTACCTACATTCCATTGAAAGGCTTTTACAGGCTTAAATATGCTTTAAAGCTCTTCTCTCAATGAAATTTACTGCTTCTCCTTCCCAACTCCTCATTATCAACAAGACAAATCGACAAAAGTCTAATCTTGATCTGCCAGTATATCCATAGTCCATCGAATAAATAACAAGTTTCCCTCCAGATAAAATCGCGATAAGGGCTGATAAGATTACAACCAGACAAATGGAAAAGTCTTAGTATCTAAATTACTTGCTCCTGACATGCCAAAGCGGGGAAAATACATTTTAAAAATAATTCACATGTATGTACTTTTTTTCCAAATTGTCTGTATGCATGTATTATATTACTATAACTCATAGTCCTCATTTGATAATTTACCTATTTGCAAGTATGAATAACCCAAAGAAAAAAAGAGATCCTCTCCAACATGGCTTCTCTGTAAATGGCATAGCAATAAGAGCTGTGCAACAATCTGGTTTTTATTTTCAGAAGTCCATACACATTCTCCTGGTTTTAACTGAAGGTTTTCCCATCACTCCTAATATTTTTAATTCTATGTTCAAATCCCAAAACTCAAAGTAATTTAAGTAAAAGTTACTGAGATCTACATGATTTCTGAAAAAAAAATGGCCTGGATGCATCTCAGCTTAGTTTGTAATAAAACCTAAAACCCAAGTTAACTTCAGGGCGTTTCAGGTTTCAATGGGTACACTTTGCTCAGTCCTAATGGAACTGTAGATCCTTTCAGAAAAGGGCTACAATTTCTTTGCTCTTTGGAAATAAAAGAAGCTGCTTCTGAATTTAAGGGATTCTACGGTCTTCTTTTTATGATTTATCACTCGGTTTGTTGTTTTTCATCTCTACTTATATAAGCTTATATGACATAACTAAGGACCTTACTCAAAATATTTCCTATTGACTTCGATCACTCCAACTGACTTCTGTGGGAAACTGAAAGAGAGAAAAAAAACACCAACAGAGACTAAATTGCGGCATTTAAACCTTCCTTCAGCCATGGAAACAATAGAAGAAATTATGCATAATCTCTCCGTGTTCTTCACAGTTCACAGGGTAATGTGCGGGCTGCTTCATCCTAGAAAATGGTTCCACCTCTCTTCTAGACTTTTGTTATGTTCATGGCATATTCACAGAGAAGTCATATTAAACCACAAAGCTCTTTATTTTTTAGAATAGGAACCCCAAAACAGAGATAGACAAACAGGTTGTGCCCAAAACAGAAATCATTTAGTTAGATTCTGCAATATCTCTGCACAACAGTAGAGTAAGTGAAAACTGATGCATAAAAAATGAAATGACTTGTTCAAGGTGACAGCAAGTCAGAGACAAAACTGGGAAGAGAATCTATTCGATCTTCTGAATCCTAACCTCATACCTTAACAACAGATTATCCACCTTTCCTAACAGGATAAAGATTTCTCTCTCTCTCTCTTTCAAAACAATACTGTTCTGTTTATTCAAATATTTTACCTTTTTTCCCATTTAGAACTTAGAATGCTTCTAGATACCCCAAGGGAAGTATTAACAACAATAATTACTGAGCAAAATGGTGTGTGTCCACACTACAAACAGCCGTTTTTTCAACAAAATCTGAGTTACATCCACACTGCAATCATGTCCTTCCAAATGAAAATTGAAAGAACAGAGAGGGTTTTCTGGCATTGCTAATCCTCTTTCTATGAGGAAGAAGCCTTTTTCCGAAAGAGCTCTTTTGGAAAAAGGTGTGTGTGGACAGGGAAAAGGGAGTTCTTTTGAAAGAAAAGGAAAGAGAAAAAAGCACAGGTGCCCTGGTGGCCACTCCTTCCATAGTAATCACAGCTGAAATGCGAGATAGCGTCCATTCAGTGTGGATGCTATCTTTTGAAAAAGCCGATTGCTTTTTCAATGCACTTTTGTGTGTGGACACTCTCTTTTGGAAGGTTTTTCAACAAACAAACCCAAAGTCACATTTTTACCAGGCTTCTTGAGCATATACTATTCATGACTCAAACTAACCTCTGTGCACTCTCCTATTCTGGGCAAACAGAATTAATCAGGGTATTTATAGTACAAATTTTGAACACCCCTTTTAAAAGAAAGTCAAGGGTGGCCAGCTACACGTCGTTCTTTTATGGTGTTAACTTCTGAGACCAAATTTATTTCACTTAGGATTTTAAAGTTTAAAGTAAATGAACAGCTAGTGCTTGAGCCATCAAAGCATTCAACTGGTAACCCATAACAGCCTAAATACTTGTTTAGATCAGTAATCCAATTTCTTTGTACTTTAAAAAAATACTATAATTAAGAATCTAGTCAACTTTAATCCAATTAATATATTTTCCCCTCCCAGAAAAAAGGTGAGCCTTTATTAGCAATTTCTCCTTTTTCATACACAACATAACAAGTAATGAAACTGCCAAGGAGTTGAAAGAGGTAATTCTGTACCACCAATTCCTAATATCTTAAGCAATGTAAACCTATCAATAAAGCTATACAAGGTTGGATTTTTTTTTTTGTTTCAGTCAAAATTTGTTGAAGCTGTGGTTTTACTGCAGTCAGTGTAAGCGTCATAAAAAAATCAAACAAATATGTAGATTAAGAACTGGGAACATATGTCACCCCTCAGCATATCAGAAAAGCTCTAGGCAGACACCTCTGGATGTCTCGTTTCATGCTTCCTACGGAATGAAGACATCCATGAATATTCCCAAAAGGAGCACCAAGTATGGTCATGGAGTCACGCAGGATATCTAACACCTTCTTCCAAGGCTTGCAGCCCACCTTTAAAGCAGGGTAGCAACACAGAAGAGAACATGTCCTCCTTGGCTCTCAAAGGCAACCATGACAGCCAGGCCACATTTCAATGGTATTCTGTCTCTGTGGCTATGTCTAGACTGCAGGCTTCTTTCGAAAGACGCTCTTTCGAAAGCATCTTTCGAAAGAGCCTCTTTCAAAAGATCGCGTCTAGACTGCAGGCGGATCTTTCGAAAGAGAAATCCGCTTTTTCGAAAGAGAGCACCCAGCGAGTCTGGATGCTCTCTTTCGAAGACGGCCTCTTTACATTGAAGAACGCCTTCTTTCGAAAGAGGAACTTTCGAAAGAAGGCGTTCTTCCTCGTGAAACGAGGTTTACCGCCATCGAAAGAAAAGCTGCGTTCTTTCGAAATAATTTCGAAAGAACGCGGCTTGAGTCTGGACGCAGGGGAAGTTTTTTCGGGAAAAGACTACTTTTCCCGAAAAAACCCCTGAGTCTGGACACGGCCTGTGTGCCCAGTTGCACTGCCCTCTTATTCAAATTTGGCCCAGTTGCACTGTACAAGAGGTGGTCAGGACCAAAGGAGAGAGAGTGTGTTGTGGTGACCTAGCACATGCAATTGCAACACCACTCAAATTTGTGGCAACTATAAAACGGTGTGGTATGTTATAAGTTGCCGTTTTCACATCAAAATCGCAGCCTTGCCCGTGAGTGGTACAAATGAATGTTTCAACTATACTATGGCATAAGAGAAACATTTTTAAAACTGTTCTGTTTTGGGTTTTTCACTATTCTATGCTTATCAAGGTTTTGGATAAATTAGCTAAAAACCCATCAGTATATTGGTCTCAGCCCCTAGGACTGACATATTTTGGATCAGGCCCTATATTACAACTGCTGTATGTAATAAGAGTATGATACAAAGCACATTAAAATCACTGGGAGTCCTTTCATTGACCTCAATGGGCTTTGGATCCTAAAAGAATATTTTGCAGCTGTTTTATAAAATTGTAAAATAGTTTAAAGGGACATTAAATAGAAAATAAACTGTTAGTGCCAACATGAAAAATATGTCAAATGTATCCCCGCTGTAATTGTTGTTCACTTGATTGATTTTCCACAAACCATGAATTTTTCCCAGTGTCTTTATAGCATAGTATTACAATATTCTTTTGTTCTTCAGGGAAAAGTCTGAAGGGAGTTAGCAGATCTCTATATAAGCAAATGGAAAACTTTTGCGAGGCTGCATTTTCAATAATTTACATTTCAGATATTTAATAAATACATTGGAGGCTAGATGAAAGAAATAATTTTACCTTTAACGTATAATTTACTTTTCCAATTCCACATCATTTTGTAAATGTGAGTCACACTGGACTTATGATAAGCAGATATTGACATTGCCTTTGAATATAAAGTAATTGCTTAATAGAATTTTTCCCCTTTCCTATAACTTGAAAGCAACTAACAATGATTGTATTTAGTAGAATGACTGTGAAATGCTGAAGAAGGTCAAAGACTTGTCAGAAAAATCAGAGAACAATTGCAAATAATCCACTGGCACTGATAGCTACCAGCATGGCCAGGACTAGTTATTTTTGTGCATCTGGAAAAGCTTACCCCTTACCACTGAACAGTTTAAATGATACAATTGGAAAAAGTGAACAAAAAATATGGCCTACTTGAAAGGATTATGCTATTTTCTTCCTGATTGATTTTAGCATATAGTTTCTAATGGACCGTTGTTTGCTAAAACTTGTAACGGAACATGGTAGCTCTATACCCAGATCTGCCACAAAGTCTGCAGGCCAATAGCAAAGTGCAATTATAGCTAGTTCGAGACTATTAAATTGCTGATTTGTGAGACCATAAATGTAAACACCTAAGGCTCCTGAAACAGAACAATAGCATGTAGAAGATGGAATTCTTTGTGTCTTCAACTTAATCCACTGAAGTACAAATGTACCTATTGCCTTGCCTTTTAGAACTTGATTTAACCTTCGAAATAATCAGACTCCCAAGAAATGCAATGACATTTCTATAGGTACAAAAGATAGACTATCAAGATTATTGCCCATCATTCAACTGCTAATTTGTCCTAGGGCTATACTTTGGGTTCTTAAATCAATATTTTAAGACTGTTGAAGCCACATGGCAATGATAATAGAAGTGCAAACATAGCCCCTAGCGCTGCTATGGGTATTAACTATACTATATCATTCTTTTCAGAGCAAGACTACCCAACAGATGGTATACACGAGACACTGGCATTGTTAACCATGGGGTAACAATGGTGGGAAATAATTGGTAAACAAACTGATTTTTTTGCTCTGATTAGTCTATTTAACTGACTACAGGGCCTTAATAGAACTAAATCTGAATATATAGTAGGGTATACATAGTAAAAAGAAATAGTTATCACTGTAAAAGCATCTTTGTGTTTCACAGATAAAATACATAAATAGATTTCCGTTAACATTACCGTTTAATAATAAATTAATCTTGGAAAAACATAAGGCTTTGTATGGTACATACATGTAAAAGGGTGGAGTAGTTTTTATATGATGCATTTTAATCTATCAGAGGTAAATATCCTGCCAACTGCAACAACACATTGCATGATATTTAGTGAATACTGTTTTCAATATGGGGCACCATAAGAGAGAAAAGACTTCCTTCCCAAAGCTATTTGATTTCAAGTTTAATTTACATACAAACTTTTACTTATATTGTAGTGTGACCCGAAAAATTTGTAGTGACATGCACCGGTGAATATACTAGCAAGGTAAGATATTTTGCTTTCTAAGCTTTTTCTATAATATTTTACCTGTCGTGCTTGAAATGTACATTAGAAGAAAAACTGGCTAAGCACTTTCATGGTGCTTTTAGGGAAATCCAAGTCGGCTCATTGAAAATGTGTAAAGATATAAACACATATACTTTTAGGTATTTTTTTCTTTTAGAGGCTGAGAACAGAAACATAATGAGAATCAACAAAGATCAAACAAGTTTATTTGTACAGTTATATATATTCAGTATTGCTACAAATGTTTCCAAACACAATATTACCTACAGTTACCAACAGTAGATTCTTGCTGTTAAATAGACATACCATTATCATATCTGGTCAGGTATAACCGTGAACCCACGAGGATGAGGTAGGATGGAATGTGTTACATATTGTCCTAGCTCTATATATCACTCCTTTTTATTATTTTATACATTTTTAACAAGAGACAAAAGAAATAAAAATAATCCCAAGGTTTAATTCAATATTATAGCTAACTAAATATCAGACTTCCCACTATTATGCACTTGGAAAGCATTAATTGCCAAATCAAAGAGATGCCCAAGGCTGAAATTATTCATCTTCTTAAGTGTCAGTGAGTACCACAATTATATGCTCTCCTTTAGGCAGCCACAATATGTACTCACTTCTTCATTGCATATTTTCCACCAGTGACCAGCAACCTAGTTCACCAATTCCATTTGTTATTCCACAATTTTTTCAGTATTTGGGAAATGTAAAAGAGCGATTAGCTTCTATCTGAGATTCGAAGAGGCTTGTTCAGAATGCTTTCTAATAATAATAATAATGAATGATAAAAACCAGGAGGAGCATCAGTCCCCATTAGGAATGCAGCACTACACAGAGCCAAAAGCCACATGTTGAGGGGAGAAAAAAAAATCTGTTTCGACAAAGAAAATGCTGCTGCTCAAAGCTTTATTGGCCCACAACATTTTCATTCTTTTTGGGAAGGACTTGGTTACTTTTCTCCATGTGGAGTACTGTTTTGACTCATTTTTTCTAAATAACATCACTGACTATGTTGAAAAAAATTAGCCAGGAGACCAGGGCTAGCCTAATCATTTGCAAGACCCTACACTACCACAAGATACTAAGCATGCAGCACCTTTTCCTCAATAGCTTCAGAGCTGCTTTTGAGATGTGTCTGCGTCCTTAGCAGAAAAACCACGAGATGAGACTAGTGAGTTGTGTGCAAATGAGGGGACTCTGGATGTGACCCATAATTCTACTTATTTGCCTCCCATGGGCACAAGAATAAACCTACTCAGACATACCTTTTCTTTAAAAAAACTGAAGCAATGCTCAGAGTGGCTTAAAAGAAAATTAAGCATCTTGTGGTATGTCTACACTGCCACCCTCGTTCAAACTAGGGTGGATAATGTAGGCATTCAAAGTTGTAAATGAAGCCCAGGATTTAAATATCCCAGGCTTCATTTGCATCTTGCTGGGCGCCGCCATTTTTAAATCCCCGTTAGTGCGGATTCTGTGCCCGCGGCTACACGCGGCATGGAGTAGGTAGTTCGAATTAGCCTCTTTAATTCGAACTTCCGGTACACCTCATGGAGTAATGGTAGTTCGAATTAGAGAGCCTAATTAGAACTACCTACTCCATGCCGCGTGAGCCGCGGGCACGGAGTCCGCACTAATGGGGATTTAAAAATGGCGGCGCCCAGCAAGATGCAAATGAAGCCTGGTATATTTAAATCCCGGGTTTTATTTGCAACTTCGAATGCCTACATTAGCCACCCTAGTTCGAACTAGCGTGGCAGTGTAGACATATCCTTGGAGAGCAGAAGTGACCACTACTACAGGAGAGAGCCTTTCCTACAATGAATGTTCTCCAAAATGTTCCCATTGTTGACCTAGCATCAGTACATCTCCCCCAGTGTTATCATTGGTGTAAGCATCTAATCAATGCCTGCATTTCCACAACAGCTAGCATCAGTGTGCAAATCCACCAATAAGACAATTTCAGAAAATGCTCAATTCAGGTGCTGAGGTGGTACATACAGCTCTTCTTAATGATTTCCCACCTCTCTATTTAAGAAGCCTGAGGACATACCTCAAAAGCACCTCATTCCTTTGGCTTTGTGCAACTTTCCTAATGAATGCATCAGGCATAATCTGGAATTAGGACTATCATTATAAACTTAAAATTAATCCGCAAAGACTAACAAAATATTTTCCGAATTTGGCCTCATTCTACTGAAAACTCTATGCACATTAGTTTCCCCTTTTTAGAGCTCCAAAAACTTTCAGGTGGAGTCAGCTAGTTCTTCTGACTTCCCCATCCTCAGTCTTTTGTTGGAGGTAAAGGGGAAGGGTCTCAAACCTGTTCTGTCACCCAGCTCCTATCATAGATCTCAGTGACAGCAATGAGGCTGCCATCTAACTTTGCTTTGAATCACAATGGGACAGAAAAGCTGAATAAGTCAGTCTGAGGGTTGGTATACAATGCTTTGAACCATACCTCTGCAAAACTAGGCAAGAGGAAGTGTACAAGTGATTTTAGAATGATTCAGCATATAGTAGCATCCTATCACCAAGTAAAAAAGTCTGGTGCATGCTCTGGTGTGAACCAATTGATTACAAGAAGTCCTCAACCCTTGCAAGACACCCTTTCCAGGAGGCAGTATGGCTAGGGGACTGGGGATGCAATTGTCAAGCTTTGTGTAACCAAAAAATGGAAGAGCTGAGATGTGTCACTCCTAAGTATTCCATATGACAATCAGTAGAGGAAACAGGAGGAATGTTTCTCCATAGTAAAGTGCTCCCATCTGAAAGAATTAAATGAATATGTACCAGTGTTCTAGTAGAATTCATATGCTATCATGTCTTAAGATACATAAAATAATCTTCAAAATATTAAGTGATATTCCAATGATTTAATATGTGCACATATACATCCAATTTTAAGTTATTCCACAAACACTAAGGCATGGGTTCCCAAACTGGGGGGCATAAAGAAATTCCGGGGGGGGGGGGCACGAGGCAACCCAGCCCCCCCTAAGTTTTGCTGCTGGGTTTTTTTTCCGACCCCGGTCAGCTCCTTGTTTTTTTGCTCAACAAGTTTTGCTGGGGGGTAGGAGGCGTGAGGGTTTCTCAGAAATCAAAAAGGGGACATGATGCCAAAAAGTTTGGGAACCACTGCTAAGGATACAAATCGGGGAGCTCTTTTCATTCTATTATTCTCTTGCCTTCAAATCTTCAAAAAAATATAGGAATGGTTAATGCTTTGTTTGTTGAATATTAAAGATAAGATTGTGTAGTTAATATCAAATGTCTTTACTTTTAATATACTGTTTCCCAAGGAAAATATTTTATTTTGTAACAGCCTTTGTTTCAGCAATGGTACCTATTAGGCTGTCCCATGCATTATTTTTATTTAGTTTACAAAATGCTTCTTTATGCCAATTTTGAATTTTATTTTCATGAACTCTTTTTGAATGTTCCACAAACCTATCATTTGGCCTGTGCTCAAATGAACTAATCTGATATTATCTGTCTCCATTTAAGGTTTTCATAATTCAATTACATTTATTCTCTTTCAACATCTTTTTCATCTGAGACTACGTTAAATTAAGATTCTGAAACTTTTCCTTATCAGCCTTATTCTATAATCTAGAGAACAACCCATTACAGTCATCTCATGTACCTTTTACAAAGAGAACTCTGCGCATTAAAATAATGAAATGGCACTAGTTATTTAAGCAAAATCTATAGGCAGCATCTCTAGTACGAGAGTGTGCCTAGACTACATGGCTCCATCGATGGAGCCATGTAAATTAGTTTATTCAGCATGGCACAGCGCAGCCGACCGATCCTGTAAACCTCATTTCACGAGGCATAAAAGATCAGTCGGCAAAGGCTTCCCCAGCCGACAGATCCGCGTCTAGACTGCCGCACTGTGCCGGATCAGCTGATTGTTGGCACAGTGTGGTGGCCATGTTTATTTTAATGAAGCAGGGATTATTTAAATCTCTGCCTTTTTGACTATGCCAAATAAACTAATTTACATGGCTCCGTCGACGGAGCCATGTAGTCTAGACATACCCCTAGAGAAAAAAGTAATTTGTGTGTCTGCACATTTTAAACATGACACAGTAATTGTAATTGGGCTGAATCCTTCACCCTGTCCTGACAGTTTCTCTGGCTTTTTAGCTCTGCATCACCCGGACTGTGGTAACAAAGCATCCCATAACTCTGACTGAACCAAAAGATCAGTTGACTGGTATACAGAGGGAAAAAACGGTTTTCTGAGAGACTGGGAATTAAAACTCAGCTCTCTCTTAGGGTGTGTCTAGACTACATGCCTCTGGCAACAGGCATGTAGATTAGGCTACCTGGCACAGGGAAATGCAGCGTTGATTTAAATAATTGCCGCTTCATTTAAATTTAAATGGCTGCCGAGCTGTGCCGATCAGCTGTTTGTCAGCTCAGTGCACTAGTCTGGATGCTTTGCGGTTGACATCAATGCATTTATTGACCTCCCCAGTATGCCTCATGGGATGAGGTTTACCGGGGAAGTCAACAAATGCCTTTGATGTCAACTGCTGAGTGCCCAGACTACCGCGCTGTGCCACCAAACAGCTAATCGGCACAGCACGGCAACCATTTAAATTTAAATGAATTGACGCTTCATTTCCCTATGCCGAGTAAACAAATCTACATGCCTCTGTTGTCAGAGGGAGGAAGAGTCCTACTGTCCCTAGTCCCTCTCCCAACACATCAACAAGGTACAGGTTGAACCCTTCTAGTCCGGCACCCTTGGGATTGAATTGTGACCAAACTAGAGAATTTGCCTCACACTATTCAAGAAATTAAGGAACCACCTGATAAATATCTTATACAAGAAACAGAAAAACATCAAGAATGACATCTCTAACTTAGAGATTCTCATCTCAAGACAAACACCGACACCGACTAACACGTTACAGGATTTTTGTTCCACCAGACAAGAAATCTACTATACACAC